CCATTGCCCTTACCACGAGAGCGACAGTCCTTCTTCATATGACCAGGCTTTTTACACTTCCAACAAGTCACAGTACCCTTCTTATTGGCAGATTTATCATCACCACTTTTGAACTTTCTTTTGTTCTTATTTTCGTTGTACTTTTTGGCTCCATCTCCTTCAATCATGTTGACAGARGATGATCCAATTTGATTCTTGTCTTTAGGATTAATATCAAGTTCCTGATTTCTTAATCCTTCCTCAATTCGTAGATGACTACCGAGTTGAACCAAATTTAGATCTTCCTTTTTGTGTTTCAAACTATGTTTGAATTCTTTCCARGAAGGGGGCAGTTTATCAATAATTACTGCAACCGAGATGGCCTCATCCATCAGCAAATTGTGTTRGGTATACTGTCCCAGAATCCTTAACATCTCATGGTATTGTTCCATGACAGGCCTGGTTTCAACCATCTTGTAATTCATAAAATTACTAACAAGAAACTTCTTTGCAGAAGCATCTTCTGCCATGTATTTGGATTCTAGGGACTCCCACAAGGCCTTTGCAGATTTAGCGTTTTGATGGACATCAAATAGGGCATCAGACATACCGTTTAGAATATGACCCCGACATATGTAATCGTCGTTCTCCCACTTCATCCTTTTCCTTGTCGTCTCCAGTGTTTCATTCTCATCCCATTCGGGACTGGGTGTACTCAGAACGTACACAACCTTCAGGGTGGTAAGAAGAAAATGCATCTTCTTTTGCCAGCGACGAAAATCCTGTCCTTCGAACTTTGCCAACTTATCAAACTTGTTCGTCATATTTTTCACAGATTCTCCAATCGTCATGATCACAAATATTTCGATCTTTGTTAGAATACTTAAGGATCACAGTAAATCTGAGAGTCGTGTAAACACTTTCAGATCGAAATATTTCGATGGTGCTATCGAAATCTTCAATCGGATAAAACTCAAAAATTGAAACAGAGAATGTGTATTTGTTCTATTATGAACAGCACCCAAATTACAGCATATCTCTGATCAATAAAACTGTAGTTCGGTTATAATTGCCAAAGCAGTTATCAACCACCAAACAGTTCAATAAAACCTCCATCGATCAGCAGCTAAGTCAATCTATTACACTTAAATAACATTGGTGACAAAATCACCAACATCAAATCGGTGTTTATATGTTCATGTAACCGGTCATATAATGCTGTTTCTTAATTTTGGTTGTTCATGAAGATCATCGTTGAATCAATCGGTGTTTATGTGATCTGGATAACTGTATTATCGATTCTGGATCGTGGTGTGGTTGACTGGTTGTAAGGCAGCTACTATTTGATATCCGTCAGAGAAACCTTTTGCTTTCTTATTTGACATTGAAATCACTTATTAATTATTAACTTCAAAACTTCATAGACTTAGATTGTAGATTAACGATTGATTATCCCATTAGATTAGAACACAGCATTTTGAAACTTGATGAAACAATACGTGCTAATTGAAATCTTGCTATAAAAACAGCTGCAGGAATTAGGGTTAGAGCTTATTAAGTTATGGATAGATGTTAAGCAAGTAATTAAAAGGAATCTAAGGGCCTTTTTGTTTTTCCAAAATTACCTCTTAATACCTTTAAAGTCTGATTTGTTTAGAGATTTGGTATTAATAGCGTTTGTTTTATTTCTAAAATAAGAGCTTAAAAGCTCTAAATCCCCTTTGACATTCTTCTTTATCCTAATCCGTCCTCTATCAAATGGTTCATATTTTTGGGGCTGGAAGAGATTTGTTAGCAAAAATTATTTATCTTTTATACTATTGTAAAAAAAAAATTATCTTATATTTTGCATTTGTTTGACTGATTTAAATTTCAGACTTCATACGTAAAAACAAACAATCTTACTGATCCAGATTTCAGACTTCAGGACCACCTCTTATAAATCAGAAGTGAAATAAGACTTCAGACTTCAACACCTCTTAAAAAACAAACGCCACCTAACACTTTTTTCTGATCTAAAGCTGATCTTTACCAAATTTATTCTTGTTGTATGATATATATGTGCTAGCTTATGTATACAAATCGGTTTTGATTATAGTTTCGGTTCTAATCTTAGGGTTACTCCCTTCGTTCCAAACTAAAATTAAGGTTGCAACTTAGTTGGATTTGGTTTGGTTAGGTTAGCTAACCTTTTTTTGTTAACCACATGTGTCCGGGCCAGCTTGTGCACATCTCGACTAATCCCACGGGCCCTAGAGAACAACCAGGAAAATCCTTGATGTCCTTGCAGGACTCATACCACTAACCTAGAAGAAGGATCCCCCAAACCGTATTGCCAGTTGAGCTAATGCCACAAGGTTTAGTATTCTGGTTAGCTAACTTCAACTAGTCATTTATAGCTTTTGGAGTCTCACGTTGGTTAGACACAATCCCTTTCTCCTCTATATTGTTGGAACCCCTCATGTCTTCACTGTCCCTTTTGGAGAGTAATTTGCAAAGGATTCACATATCTTACATGGTATCAGAGTGACGGTACTCCCCTAAAAGGGGCTTGACAATCCGGTGCACCGTCTTTGTTTAGCCTCTATTAGAGGGGGTGCTTTGGAGTTCCATATCGGTTAGACATGGTCCCTTTCTCCTCTACATATGTTAGAACCCTTTTCTCTCCTCAAGGGAACTTTTGGAGAGTAATTTGATGGGGTTACACATATCTCACAAGAACAAGGTGAGAGAGATTGCTTGATTGTGGAACTTTGGTTATAAACATTTGGAATAGGCGATAAACATGTATAAAATTGAACTAGAGCATAGTTTTTGGTTCTAATCATGACTTCAAATCCCATGCTCAGAATACATGTAAAAGATATGAGTAGCCAAGGCTTTGTTATTTACATGGCCTTAGATTGATAATCGGGTAGCTATAGTATTAGTGTCCAAGGCAAGCAACTCCGACTGGGACAAGAGAAGGTCAGAGGTAGACAACGTCCCTGTTTTATCAAAATCGAGTATTTCAAACTGTTCCATGATAGGTGTGATATCTTCTTCGTTGATCTTCCCCATCTCTTTTAGCTTATAGATCACGAACTCAGCAGCTCTGTTTCAATATCAAAAGATAATTAAACACCATTTTAGAGTCTTATCATGTTCAAGAATGCAAGTTATCAACTTCTAGTTATATTTTGATAAATGTAGAACTAACTATTCATGATGAATATAATAACTATTCATGATGAAAATCATGCATTTTCATTCATGGATATCTATTATATATTGACCATCATCAATAGGTTGTTCTCACGGTTTTCAAAATATTTATGGTTCTCAAACGAGCCTGCCCCCTCCTGGTTATTTGTACTTACATGACGATGCCATCACCATCAAAATCAGCTGCCTCAAGATCAGAAGTGGTTGTTTTTCTTTTAAGAACCCATTTGACCAATGACCTTTGCCTTCTTTCAGTGTGTAGCAGAGCAAAACTAAAGAGCAACTGAGCTACATAAATGGTACCCAACAAGATCCAGAACAAAGAAAAGACACGCCCACCTGTCGTCGAGAAGCATTTATCTATGTAACCAAGGCCAGTGAGCGTTCCAATGACACAATAGAAGGCATGAACGAAGTCCAAATCCTCAACAGAAAGTAAAAAACCTGTCCCTGCAGCCATGAAAACCAGAAGCAATGCCACCAAGATTATACACTTATTTCTCACTTTCTTCGTTCGGATCTTTTTCAGAATCTCTCTTTCACCGAGAGTTTGGTTCAAACTTAACGCCTTCACCAGCAATCGTTCTTGTTTCTCCACTAAAAGATCTGCTGCTTTACTCAGAACCAACCCGACAATCAACGTACCCAAAACGACAAAAAGACAGGCGAGTAGTATTGTAAGGTTGCTATCTGGAGAAAGATCTCCATAGCCGACTGATGTCATCGTTACAATGGTGAAATAAAGTCCATCGAGTACACTATTTGTTTTCTTTCCTTTAATCTGGTGCCTGGCTAGATGAAAGCAAAGAGTACCTGCAGCCAAGTATACAAAGAAGATGACAGCTACTTTCCAATAATTCGGGTACAAGTGATCAAAAACAGACTTGGGTTTTGGCAGAGATTCAGCGGGGGCGGCATGCTTGCCATTGGAAATGGAAGAATTTGCACGTGGGGCACTTTTAATTCGCCGGAATCTTCTCTTGAGCGAAGCTGTTTGGTCTTTCAGGCGTGGCCGCTTCGGTGAATCTTGTTTTTTGGCTTCAGATGTCATTGCAAGAAACTTGGAGCTCTGAAAGACAATTTGAAATGACAAATTATCGTGTTCGCCATCAGAGCTTCAATCAGAAAGTTTTGTTTTACAAGAAACTACAGTTCAGATTTCAAGATTTTAAAGCAGGTTCATTTTTCAACTTACATATGAACTGAAGATGATTGGATTCTTTGAACATGGAGGGGTGAAAACACGGTGGTGGTGGGAACTTAGATCAAGAAAGTTTTGCAAGAAACTGCAGTTCAGATTTCAAGATCATATAGCAGCTTCATCATTTAACTTACATGTGAACTGAAGATGATTGGATTCTTTGAAGATGTAGAAAGGGAGCATGGTCTTCCTTTATGCTTGGCTTTTTGTTTGATCAATCTCAAGCTTCAAGCCTCAACCACAATTCTTTTATCAGGGGTGTATGGAAGACCATCAAGTTACGGATTTTGTATACAGATTATTGAGATGTATATATATATATATATATATATATATATGTATGTATGTGTATGTGTATGTGTATGTGTGTGTATAACATTAAACTTATATATGAAATGCAAAGTTAATATATGGTCCTGACAACAGCTTTAAAATCATAGATCTTGGGATCCGGATGACAATAATGTGATTATGAACCTTTTTCGTCATCTTGAACCAGACGGTAAAATAACAAAAATGCCGTGTCGGTTAGACGCTACTCATAAGATGGTAAAAACTTGTGTGTGGTATTTGCATTCGAGTGATATTTTAGAATGGTATTTTGCTTTTTAAGTGTGTGGTTGGAATGAAACCGTAAATTGGTGTTATTTATTGTCGTTTTGACGTTACTATTAGTTGTATGGTTAGATGTGGATAAAGATGGATATTTATTATGAAATTTGACAGTTTGAATATATACTTAATGATGTGTTTCACATTGATGATGTTATTTGAAACCTAAAATCAGTCTCTTTCAGAATGAAAATGAAAGAATGTAAAAAGATGGAAGTGAAGGGTGGCTGATTGCTTTAGTAAAGAAATGATTAGAACATAAGTGGTGCTTAACCACTCCACTGACCTTCCTCTAAAGAAAAATTCCTCTTTAATCAAAGTAGCAAAGTTGAATAAAGCTGAAATGGGGTTTAGTGGCAGATCTAGAGACTTCTGTGGTTGGGACACGAGATCAACGTTTCAACTATTAAAAAGCATTTAAAATGATAGCTTATGCTAAAAAAATCAATTCTAAACATACGTTAAGAAAACACCAGAAGCCATCTATAATATTGTTATAATAATAAACATCTTAATATATTAAACTTTTAATATATATATATATATATGTGTGTGTGTGTGTGTGTATGGGGGGAGAGAGAGAGAGTTGGGTTCTAGTGAGAAACATAAGAAGATATCTCCACTTTTGGATCTATCATAATTGAATGTCAACATTAATGAGGTGAGATGCACCGGATCAATTCCCTTTTGTACGGGGATTGATTTGGTATATCTCATCTTAATATACATTTAAGGGTGGAGATCACTTTTTACGTTTCTCACTTAACTCTCTTTCTCACCGGATCCCAACCCAATGGTCTTATTGGTCTAGGCGAAGGACCGTGTGAGAATGAAAGTTAAGGTGATAAACATAAGAACAAATATGGACTTTTGATCACCTTTAATCTTAAACTCACCCATGAATCGTGCTTGATATATGGATTGATCCGGTGCATCTCGATGCATCTCATCTTTGTGCATCACATTGAGAAAATACAAAAATGATCCAACATTTATGTGGTTGATCAGTTCTACATCTCGACTAATTAACTTATGCCACTTAAAATTGTAATCCTTTGAACCAAGAAATTGTATATAATATTTTGAGACTGAAAACATAATTTTTTAAAGGCAAATTGCATAAAAAAGTAACGTATCTTAACTTGATATTTATTTTGAATAAAGTATTTTCAAAACTTTAATTTGGTACTTAAGATGTAAAATTTTAAACATTTAAGTAACCGGATAATCGGTTGAAGCATTAACTGGTTACCATGCTGATGTGACGAGTGATGTGGTATCCAACTAAGTATTATTTGCTATTCAACCCAATTTCATCCCCTCACTCGCCACATCAACCGGTTATCCGGGTACTTAAATATTTAAAACTTTACATCTTAGGTTTCAAAATATAAAATTTGAAAGTACGTTACCTAAAATAGGAATCAGGTTAAATTACGTTACTTTTTCATGCAATTTTTTAATTATAAAAGCCTGTTACTATTCAATAATACCAGTCTTGAAATAAGAAATGTATACTAACTTTTAACTAGATGTTACGTTAAGGGGTCTACAGGACCACAACGTATCAGCATGGGTCCTTTAGATATCAAGTTGATGATAATAATAGTGATGAATTTGTTTGATAGTAAAGAAACATTCATTGGAACCTAAATAGTAACGTGGAAAACGATTATGTATTCATAAAAATAAAATAATTGTGGTCCATTCGGTGGAATGAAATTTTGAAGTCGAAAACTCAAATCTTTAATATTTTGTTTCACCTCTCGATTTTTTTAATGGTTTCGTATGGTTTCTTTTCAGTGCTTGGTAGCCGTAGCAGTTGTATTCCATGGAGGAAGAACGCCCCACGAGGGGCTATACACCGAGTGTTATAGAATCTCATTGTTCATTTATTCTTCTTTTATGGTGGAATAAAAGGAGAACGAGACTTGATTTTGCAGTTTTTGTGAAGATTCAACATCAACGAGACCAGTCGCTGGTAAGCTTTAGTGAAGGCATTCAATGACCAATAGGAGCACACTGTTACGTTTTAGTGAGAGCACTCACTGATCAACGACAGTGACCCCACACACTTGTTGAAGGCAAACATTGGAAGCCGCATAGACTGATAAAGTTTTGATTGCCAGAAGAGTTGCAACAAAATCGAAGCTGAAGGTATTGAAGATAAGTTTTGAAGCAAAGGACACTGAGCACTACTCCTGGACCCCGCAAGGACAACAAGACCCTCTTGAATCCCGTTATTCTTCAATTCCAGGTTCAAGTTATCTTATACAGCATATTTATGTGTCTCTTAAATCGCATCGTAATCTAATCAAAAACCATCTCAATATCATATAAATTTTAGTTACACCAAATTATTGATAAACCGATAATGACATTCCAACCACTACACTAATCAAGTCACAAATCATGAAGCTAACCCGAAATAACAAGGTACACCGAATTTAATTTAATTCCCGATGATGGATAATTTAAAGCAATCTTGCGAAGTTGCGAGCCTACTTAATTATTGGCCGAATAAACAAAGTCAAATGGTTAATTTCTAGGAGTAGAATTTGAAATTAAGAATATGTTTGTTTGCAGTTTATTTGATAAATTATATATGATTGTTTAATAGTGACTTAATGATACAAAAAGTGACTTATTCAGTAAGTTTTTATGAGATATTTTATATAAATAGTCAATTTTGCTTGTATGTCTCTTGAATCGTATCGTAACTTAACACATTTTTTTCCATCTATACAAAAACCATCTCAAACAAAATATTTCTCAAACTCTACAGCAAATTAATCCACTCATACAACTTTAACAATTCAGAACTTAATAGAAAACCAACCAATTATCCAACAACTCACTGGAGGTAAATTGGTCATTTTAACCGGTTCTGTCCAATCCTATCACGTCTTACCAAAAGCTGAACAACTATCCAGTCCAATCTGCGTACCAAACGTAACTTAAACCTTGCCCATTTCCATTTCCAATTTGTTGATTCAATGAAGTTACTACCATTTGGGCCATCCCAATCCATTGGGTGAGTTTGATACCACCCCAATCCATGGATAAACCCTCTGTTATAATCTTGATAGATTTTTCTACCTTTCCCTACCGGCAACTTGCTCCTCTCTCACCATCATTATCAGCCACCGGACCTCCTCCACCTGCAAGCCCAAGCAGTCCTCTCCCCTCTCTCTATATACATATATATATGTATGTATATATGTGTGTGTGTTTGTGTGTATATTATTCTTACCGGCAAAGACTTCAACTTTCTTGACTATTTCTTGAACCCACCATCACCACCACCACCACCACCATCAACCCTAAACCATTCTTTGTTACTCTTAAAACAGTCGCCCATTATTAGTCTTGTTAGACACCCTTATGCCATATGTGTATTTCTTCCAAAAGAGTTGGCAAAGACTTGATCTTTTTGTAAAGTAGTATATTTCAGATCTTCAAGAAACAGTAGTCAGTATCTGATATTTTTCTCAAGGTTCCACGAGATGCCCACTTCTTGTCATCTTGGTTGGTCTGAATCAATGTTTTGTGTGGATTTCAACTTCAGCAAGACCTTTGTGCCTTCTTGGCAGCTGAATAAAGTGGATTTTTGACTTTTGAAATTTGAACCCTTTTAACCTAACATCTGTATAAATCTCTAGTTGATGCTTCTCTTTTCAAGATTTTGTCTTAAAGATTATATAATGGGTAGGGTTAGTGTACATTGTTTGCTGGTTGTGAAATTAGGGTTTTGTTAAAGAACTTACTAGTGAAGTGGGTATAGGTTGGTTTTGGTTCAGCCATGGCTGAAAGTGGTCAAAGTTTTTGATCCCTTTAACGGAACATCTGTATACATCTTTAGTTGCTGCTTCTCTTTTCTAGATTTTGTCTTAAAGATTCAAAATGGGTAGGGTTAGTTTACATTATTTGCTGATTGTAAGATTAGGGTTTTGTTAAAGAACTTGTTAGTGAAGTGAGTATAGGCTAGTTTTGGTTCAGCCATGGCTGAAAGTGGTCAAAGTTTTGTGGAATGGAAAGAGGAATTTGTTTCAAAGGAAAGGGGCAAGAGGGTGGTTCACTATTTCTTGAAAGAAAAATCTGGTGAATCGGTGCTAGCTGTTGTGGGAACTGAGAGAAGTGTTAGGCATATGTTTTATGTGGTTGCTGAGGAGTTCTTGAGGGTTAACGAGCTGAATCGTTCAGTAAATGCTGCGTATAGATGGAGATCGAGGAGGGAGGTTGTTAATTGGCTGACTTCTATGCTATCGAAGCAGTACCGGCAAGGTGAATATGAAAACCCTGCGTTTTAAGCTCAAAAACTGTTTAGAATCATGTGAAAAGTTTATGAAGATTCTGCCATTGTTATTAGATGAAAATTGCAAGTTGGTATTTGTTTGTTATCTATGAATGTTTATTTCTTGATGTTTCCGATGATTATTGAAGATGTTATATTCAAACAATTGAATGAGAAAGGCAACTTGCACAATTGGATGCTTAATTAGGCCATTTTTGGCAACCATAAGCTAGCTTATTTTTTAAGCTTATTGAAAAAGTCACAATTGGTCAGCCGTCTAGCTTTTTGAAACGCTAATTCCAGTAGCCTTTCAAATTTTCAATGAACTCCAGGACTTTTTCTAATTGTGCTTTTCTAATTATTTTTTCACCATGTCTTTTTTAAGTCATTTATAGTGTCAATCTAGCTTATTAACTAGTTTTTGTCAAATATGAACTATTTTATTAGCTAGCTTACTGGGCAACAACGGGCTTATTGGCCAACAACTAGCTTATTAGCAAGCAACTGGCTTATTTGCCAGCTTATTAGCAAGCAACTGGCTTATTTGCCAACTTATTAGCCAACAAGTAGCTTATTAGTCAACAACCGGCTTATTGGCAAACAGCTAGCTTGTTATTTGCCTGACTTATTAGCCAACAAGTAGCTTATTAGCAAGCAACTAACTTATTAGCCAACAACCGGCTTATTTGCTGACTTATTAGCCAACAACCGGCTTAACAGCTAGTTTGCCAAACATAGCCTTACATGATTCATGAGCAAGCCATCCAATCCGTTTGGGTATGTGGTTGTAGTTATTGATGCTGGAAACAAAGTTTGCAACTTTTACCGAGAGAGAAGTCTTTTTTAACACTCCCGTGTGGACAAGAGAATAAAACCATCATCCACAAAGCCATAGTTGTTATTAAGTCCAAATCAGGCTCCATACCTCATTGAAGTTGCAGCATTTCTTTCTTTGGCAAAGTGTCAAAGTTAAAGTCATGTATTTGTTCATTATCATCATTCGAAATTGATTTATTGTATCGTGGGGATTCTTGCAGTCTGAATTGAAGGTTATTTAAGGTATTTCACAAGTAGTCAAACGCATTCCTTACTGAAGCGGCAACTTTCTTTATCATTTCTTATTCCAGATTCGCCTAAAGGAGATCATGTTTCAGGATTCAACACTGTGTATCAGAATCGTCCTGCAAGAAATTTGAAATTACGCACTCCGGATATTGTCTGGTCAGGTGCAACATGGACTTGTGGTAAGCAACTCAAGCACTTCCCAGCATTTTGCAGGAACGGGATTACAATAGCGGTAAGCATCTGTTTCTAATTCAGCCGATAACTCTGAACCATCATACTTGGATTTTCGTGGCAAATAAATCATCTTTCTCGTGGAAATGAAAACGAGACATTATGTTTTGAGATAATGAGTGATTGTGGACAATAAAGGGCAGGTTCATTTGAGAATCGTAAATATATTGAGAACCTAACTATTCATGAGGATATCTTGAACAAAGAAAAGTGCATTATGGTCATGCATGTTTAGGCATATTCATTGCGAATAATTCATGAATATTAGGTATATTCATCATGAATAATTTATGGATAGCTGGTTCATATTTCTCAAAATATTTATGGTTTCTAAATAGCTTACCTTCTATCCTGTATTTTTCATTCTTGAAAGCTATAGGGTTATTTAGGTATATTCATTATGGATAATTCATGAATATTAGGTATATTCATTATGAATAATTCATGGATAGTTGGTTCATAGTTCTCAAAATATTTATGGTTTCTAATTGAACTTTCCTTTTATCTGTATTGTTGATTCTTGGAAGGTATGGTGTTTCTATGGCATTTTTACAAGAACAACGATTAATTTGATGAAAAGTCAAATATGATGGTTCAAAAGGTCCCCCTTCTAATCCGAATAATATATTGAGTCTTGAGATTTGTTGTTGCACTCGATGTGCAGGTACAATCGTTCGTTTTTGTCATGGCTGAAGAGGGAAAACGTCATCTTGCATTTCTTGAAGATATGTACGAAGATAGGAAGGGCCAAAAGAAAGTCAAAGTGAGATGGTTTCATCACAATCTAGAAGTCAAAGGTGTCATCATCCTCCGTAACACGCACCATAAAGAAGTTTTCGTTACTCCTTACACACAAGTTATCAGTGTCGAATGTGTGGATGGTCCTGCCATCGTCTTAACCCGTGAACATTATGAGAAATGCGTATCTAACCTTCCTGAAGATCTGTTAACCAGAGTCTTTCTTTGCTTTAGACAGTTCAAAAACAACCGTGTGAAGCCTTTCAAATTGAGTAAATTGCGAGGCTACTTTGATCAACCGATCTTTTCTTTTTTGGATCGTGGGTATATCGAAGATGATGAAGATTGCTTGGGTGATAATGCTGAATTGGGATTGAAAAGGTATTCTCGAGTGATATCGTATGAGATTTTGAGGAAGAAGCTCATCCCTAAATATGCTAAAAATCGGCAGTGGGATATTCCGTGTTTTAAGGCTAACGAAAAGGTAGAGTTACTGTGTCAAGATAGCGGTATACGTGGATGTTGGTTCAGATGTACGGTTTTGCGAGTGGCTCGGAGACGAATTAAAGTCCGATATGATGATTTGATTGATGAAGACGGAAGTAGCAATCTTGAGGTATACTCGATTTTCAAAATTCTCTTTGAATAAATGCAGAATAGATAAAATATTTATCTTGTAGAGATGCACAAGGCACTGGCTTTTTCGGGCCTTCCAAACCCGTTTTAAGTAAACAAAAAGCCTGTGTTTTGAGGGCCAGATTGGGCTTTTAGGCCTGGATGGGCTTTGGGCTTGCTAGTCTGGGTTTTTCGGGCCTGGCTTTGGTCTCGGGCCTTTTGTCCATCTTCATTCTTGTGGTAGATCAAAAGTCTGCATACATCTTACTAATTCTTTCATATGCAGGAATGGGTTTCTGCTTTCAGATTAGCTATACCTGATGAGCTTGGATTACGACACTCTGGTCGACCAACAATGAGGCCTGCGGTTACGCAAGACGAAACCGACGTTGGTTTCGAGGTTGGTTCTGCGGTGGATGCATGGTGGAGCGACGGCTGGTGGGAAGGAGTTGTGACGGAAATAAATGCATCAGAAAACGCAGATATTCAAGTTTATATTCCTGGTATGCTTCTCGATACAATTGTCCGTTTATCATTATCTTATGGTTCTTGAGCCAATTTGAGTCTGATCGATCATCGTGTGTTAACTGGCAACAGGTGAAACATTGTTCTTGAAAGTGCACGTGAGGGACGTTAGATTTTCGAGAGATTGGGTGGGGGATCGTTGGGTGAACGTTAAAGGAAACCCGAATGCTCGGTTGCTAATATCTGATGTAGCTTTGAAGGAGGGCCGGCGTAACGAGATTTACGCGGATGATGTAAGAATGGAAGTAGTGTAAATATTGTAGGAAGAAGATGAATGGTGATGGTGTACAGGAAGGAGGTTAGATATAGGAGGGTTATTGTAATTCTTTAGTGATGTTTAGGGACCATGGAATCCAATGCCATTGGCATTGATCTGCTTAGGGATGCTTGTGGGTTGAGTTGATCGGGTTAAAGGCATTTGTACAATTTAATCTAATGTTTGCGGTTTTTGAAAAATCTCAACCCAAACCAAAGTGTAACCCAATCTAACCCGTACGAGTTAGTCGGGTTGATAATTTGGCATATCAAAATATTCGTCCAACCTTAAATATGTTGTTTTATCTAGTCTGATCATAATTTTTTTATCTTAAATCATTTGGTACAATTTATTCATTATTCTTAACTTTAAGTATATCACATTCAAATAATCTTGTTCCTTAATGGTTCTAAAACTTTCTTAATGATTTTGTATCATGAGTCTTCTTAACCATTAAACGGTCTTAATTTCATTGCAAACAAGTATCAAACAATTATATTTTACTTTGTATTATATCATGAAAGCTTTTTAATCATTCTGACCGTTTATTATTATGTATTAAATTATTAGGCAAATGTCAAACAACCCATAAGTTAATTAAGTTTCTGGATCCCCGTTACCTATAAACACCAGACAAACATTTAGGATGAAATCTTTCTTTTAGTTTATTGGGATTGGGTCATGGGTCATCTAAACGTATTAAAATGGGCTATGAATCCGGCTTAGATATGAAGCATCATCCGGCCCGCACATTTAATTGAAACCAAACCCGGTTTGATATTTTCTTTACCCTCCGTTATCTCCTTCCTCCCCAAAACTTGTGTGGATAACCTCGGTCGGGAAGACCATACAGAAAGCTTCTCAGAGCCAAAACCCTAGAACAAACTGTAAAATTGTTCTAAAACCCACCTAAATAATGGCATTTTCATCGTCTCTAGCAGCAACACTGTTTCCTTTATGCAATTCGTCCTCAATTTCTTCTACACCTAAGCTTTCTGGTTTGCCATTTCTTTCAAACGCCTCATCGACCTCCAGGGTTCAATTCCAATCACCTCGTTTATCTACAACTAGAGTTTTCTCAGCTCCTGAAACTTTGGAACAACCCCTTGAGGTATGATTGAATTCGATTGTTGTATATTTGTATTTGGTGAATGTTGGTTCGTTTGTTTAAACTGATGAGAGTTCCTTTTTTTGGATATCTAATCGGATTTTGCTAGATTGGGGATTCTGAATCGTCAACGGTGATTGTGGGTTCTGATTCGGATAAGGTAATTCTCGTTGATTATGGTTCTTCACTTGTTTTCATAGAAAACTTATGGAATTAGGTATCTGTAGACGAATGTAGTTGGCGTTTTCACAATAACACAATTGAGATTGTTTAATCTATCAATATATGTTAACATCTTAGACCAACCATACCGGATATTGTCAGCTTTGTCCATACGTGGATTCACGGTTTTAAAGAGCTTCTAATAGAGAAGGTATCCGGTCCCTTATCAGTCGTTTCTGTCCCCAACCGATGTGAGATCTTACAATCTACCCCTTGGGAGCCTAGTGTACTCGCTGACACACCAGTCCGGTTGCGGGCTCTGAAACCCTTTGTACCATCCTAGATATTGTCCCTTTTGTCCACACTTGGACTCAAGTGTCTTATAAGGCAACCTTCGTTTCCCTCCCTAACTGTTGTGGGATCTTGATACCATTTGTAACATCCCAAGCCAACTGTACCGGGCATTCTTTGCTTTGTCCACACTTAGGCTCACGGTTTTAAAATGCGTCTAAGAGAGGAGGTATCCAGTCCCTTATAAGGCAACTTTCGTCGCCCTCCCCAACCGATGTGAGATCTTACAATCCACCCCCCTTGGGGCCTAGCGTCCTCGCTGGTACACTAGTCCAATTTCGGGCTTTGATACCATTTGTAACAACCTAGGCTAGCCGTACCAGATATTGTTCATTTTGTTCACACCTGGACTAAAAATGCGCCTAATAGAGGAGGTATCCAATCCCTTATAAGGCAACCTTCGTTCCCCTCCCCACCGATGTGGGATCTTACATCATGTGTCGAATTCGTGGTTAATGCAACTATGCAAGAAAGAACTATTGCATTATCTCAAACTTCGCATGCCATTGTCACAATAAATCTTGAATTCTGCTTAGTAATACATGAAATTGTTAGTTGTTATTATGATGTATTATTTCTTTGGATAAAAGGCCAAGTCTCGTATAAATGCACGTATTGTGTTAAGCAATATCACTATTTTACGTTTGTTAGAACACATATGAGTCAATAGCGTGCTTTCGAGCATGAAGTTAGACTTTGGGATGTTAATGTTAGTAATTGTAGAAATGAAATATCAAACAAATTGTTTAGTTGTTCGATAGTAACCCTATGATAAGAAGAAAAGGCTAGAAAGTAAATAAACCAAACCAATACCAAGGGTCATTGGCCTAGCGGAGTAACGTTACCCAGATTGCTGATAGAGCTGAGGAGGTCAAGGGTTCAAACCTCACCAAAGTTAGGGGTGTGCGTGAGTATTTGGCGTGTATAAATTCAAAAAGAAAAGGAAACCAAACAAACCCAGTATATTCCATTCAAAAGTAGGGTATGGGAGGTGGGATATGTGCGTACCCCCAACGGAGGTTGAGATGTACGTAGACCAGACCTCTGCCCCCCAACAGGGTTGACATGTATGCAGACCTGACCTCTGCCCCCCAATAGTCCCCAACAGGGTAGAGTGGTTGTTTGAAGACTCCTGCTTGTGCAATTTGGTGAAAGAAGCACGAAAAAATAAGTAAGAAAAATTAACGAGTAGGTGCACTGAGAACATACGAAAAGGTAAGAATGACAAAACACACATAGAGCTAACAAAGCCAAACTACAAATCTCTTGCCTACATATAGATATTAACAAATTAATGACGAAGGATCGTGTGAGAATAGGAGTTAAGGTGAGAAGTGTATGAAGGGATTTGGACTCGATCATCATTTTTAATTAGTGTTTTAATGGTTCACATTAAATCCCAAAATAACCCATGTATTAGCTTAAAGAGTATTTTCAATTGATCTTCAAATTAAGATTGATCAAAGGGTGGAGATCCCTTCTTAACCTTCTCCGGATAACTACTATTCTTACCGGAAACCGATCTATTGATGGTGGATTTCGTAAAAGCTTAAAGACTTTCTTGTTTTTCAGATGGCACCAAAACAGAAAATAAGGATTAAACTGAGGTCATACTGGGTGCCTTTAATCGAGGATTCGTGCAAGCAGATCATGGATGCGGCTAGGACCACAAACGCAAAGACCATGGGTCCGGTTCCTTTGCCAACCAAGAAAAGAATATATTGTGTGCTTAAATCTCCTCATGTTCACAAAGATGCAAGATTTCACTTTGAGATCAGAACCCATCAAAGGCTTATCGACATTCTACACCCGACTGCACAAACCATCGATTCTTTAATGCAGCTCGATCTTCCTGCTGGTGTCGATGTTGAAGTTAAGCTTTAAGAATGTCTCTCGAGTCCCTTTTTTGCTCTTAAAATGTATCGTAAATCTGTTATTTTGTCGATTAAAGGGATGGTTTTTGGTAAAATATTTTGTTGGTGTAACCTTCATTACGTATGATGTTTCTGTACTTCAAATTGTAAAAATGGATGATGTTTAAATGATCACAAGTCACATCTTTTGTTTCTGTACTTTCAGTTTCTATTCTTCAATATTGCACTCTTCAAAAAATATGCCCTCAGAGTTATACTTTAGAGTAAATTACGATTTTCATCCCTGTGGTTTGTTAATAATTTAAATTTTCATCTCTCTGGATTAAAAGTTGCGATTTTTGTCCTGCTATTTTCATTCTTGGATATATTCCTACATTTAAGTACAAGGGACTAAATCAATAAAGAATTATAAACCACATGGACTGAAACAACAATAAATTGTAAATTATAAGGATGAAAATAGTAATGAATTACAAACCATATAACTAGGGCTGTAAGGTAGTGTTTGGTACGCAGACTGGACGGGACGGGACGGGACAGGGCAGGACGGGACATGACTAATTGTCTGTCCTATGTTTGGTACGACTAGGACAGGACGGGACAAAACTATTAAAATGACCATATTATCCCTAAATATTGTTCAATGTTATTTTATATCATATAATAATTGTAAAATGACCAACAAATCAATCAAAATATTGTCATTTTAACTTTAGTCCCATGTTGTTCTACCTTTTTTGGTGGAACAAAAAAAATCAAGATTTGTCCCACTAAAATTAAAAATAGTCCCACCTTGGCCCATGTTTTTTTTGTCCATGGCATGCCAAACATGGGACTATTTTTTTTGTCCCGTCCTGTCCCATGTAGTCTGCATACCAAACGTACCCACGAACCGAACGAACACGAACGGAGGCTTATTCATGTTCGTTCGTTTAACTTAACCGAATAAACGAACGAACACGAACGGTAAACGAACGAAAATCTTTGTGTTCGTGTTCGTTCGTTTAGAAAT